CTCAATTTACTGACCTCGGAAGGAGGGAAGGCTGAGTCAACCTTGAGATCTGAACTGATGAGATTTGAACTGCCAAATTGCAAGCAAGCAAAGTCAATGGGGAAGCCAGATTCGCTCAATGACCGTGTTACTAACTTAACAACTGCAGCAATTCACTTAACAAGAAAAGTCATAAAATGGGGCAAAACTCACTTAACAAATGTCTCACTTAGTGACAGAAATTTTGAGCTTGATTGTGGTCTTAAGCTGAGGGCTACCTGTATATGAAGGAGATTCCAAGTCATAAATGATGGATTTGTAAAATGTAACTGCCTGCAAGAGAAAATGATGTTCTTTCTGTGATCTTTGGTAGCACTGCACAATATAAGTAGCTCTTTTATTTTTCCAGTTGATGCTGAGATTGTTTCTATTGACACTTTCAACAAACCATCTCCCAAAAGAGGCCTTGTTGTGGGAATTACCTTCATTAAGGTATGCAGGTCATTTCATTCATTGTTTTTCCTGCAACATGTTACAGTGATGTGCATACATTTGCTATGTTCTTTTAAGGCATGCAGCATTTTTGCAGTAATGTTGTGGGCTGCAAATCAAACGTTTGTTTTGCTGTTGTTGGAACCCAGTTTTATCACAAAGTTGTGCTACTGAGCAGCTGTAACTTGTAGGTCCTTGAAAATTTGAAGTTCAGCAAAAAAAAATTCTATGCAACCATATTTCCTTTGAATTTAGATTTAATTCCGATGGTTTCAGGGTATAACTGTGTCATTTTATTGACAGTAGTATGGAAATAATTTAATCCCTTCTAAGAGGTTTTGCAACTTCTCAGTCGGCCTATATAGCCTTGAGATTTCCAGGGGATCTCCTATTCAATTGCTGTTTAGCTCTGTTCAATAGAATAGAATTAGAATTAGAATTAGAATTAGAATTAGAATTAGAATAGAATAGAATAGAATAGAATAGAATAGAATAGAATAGAATAGAATTCTTTATTGGCCAAGTGTGGTTGGACACACAAGGAATTTGTCTTGGTGCAAATGCTCTCAGTGTACATAAAAGAAAAGATACATTCGTCAAGTACCTTAAGGTACAACATTGAATGATAGTCATAGGGTACAATAAGCAATCAAATCCTACTAGGAAACAGTCAATATAGCGACAAAGTTACAGTCATACAGTCACAAATGGGAGGAGAGGGGTGATAAGGAGTGATAAGAAGATTAATAGTAATAAGAATGCAGACTTTGTAAATAGTTGGACAGTGTTGAGGGAATTATTTGTTAAGCAGAGTGATGGCATTTGGGGAAAAACTGTCCTTGTGTCTAGTTGTTCTGGTGTGCAGTGCTTTATAGCGTCATTTTGAAGGAAGGAGTTGAAACAGTTTATGTCCAGGATATGAGGGGTCTGTAGATATTTTCACAGACTCGTGCAGGATACAGGTCCTCAATGGAAGGTAGGTTGGTAGTAATTGTTTTTTCTGCAGTCCTAATTATCCTCTGAAGTCTGTGTCCTGTTGGGTTGCAGAACCAAACCAAACAGTTATAGAACAGGGAGAGAAAGAAAATCCATATTTTCTGCTTATCCCAGGTTTTTTTTCCCCCCAGTTCATCTTTATTTTCCTCTCCCCAAGAATTATAAACACAGGTAGCCCTTGACATACAACGTAGTTGAGGCCCAGATTTTTGTTGCTAAGCAAGACAGTTGCTAAGTGAGTTTGGCCGCATTTTACGACCTTTCTTGCCACAGTGAATCACTGCAGTTACTAATTTAGTAACATGGCAGTTAAGTGACATTGACTGTGCTTGTCAGAAGGTCACAAAGGGCGATCAATGAACCTGGAGCACTGCAACTGTCATACAAGCCGGTTGCCAAACATCTGGATTTTGATCATGTGACCATGAGGGCGCTGAAACGTTTGTAAGTGTGGAAAAATGGTCATGTATGGCTTTTTTCAGTGCCGTTGTAACTTTGAAGAGTCCCTTGTCAAATGGCTGTAAGTCAAGGACCGCCTGTGTTGTATACTTTTGAAACCTATGCCTAACGACACAGACTATCCTACTGTTCTGACTAAGGCTTCCCACGACCGTAATTAAGCACACACTTAGTTAAAACAACACTTGTTTTATTTCAACACTGGGAATTATGTTCATTCCCAGCCGTAATGAGTCCCAAACTGTCCCTCGAGATAAGCACCCACCTTTCTCTCCTTTGAATGGCTGCCAACAACTAAAGTGCCAAATGAATTATAAAAAAACTAACCGAACTACAAAGTCCACACAGAGCTTCAAGGTTTAATCCGAACAGAGCGAATGACTTTGCTTCCTGCAAAGGTTTCTTCACCTTTGCCTCTCCTTTATCCCTTAGGGGAGGGGCAATCACCTCCAAGCCTCACTCCCCTAAGTCACCCCTTTTATCTCAGCTGCTCTTGCCTTCTAGCAGCTCTGTGCACATGTGCACTGGAAACAGGCTCCCCTGGGTCCTCGGCCTCGCTGCTGCCAGACTCTGGAGGCTCCGGAGTCAGCACACCACTCCCAGATGGTCCTGGCCCCATCTCTGCATCGGACGCAGGACCCTCATCCGAGTCCTCTCCAGACTCCCGGACTGGTCCCCATTCTTCCCCGCTGTCCAATTCTGCTGCCATCTGCACAGGCTGCCAACGAACCACAACACCTGCTTCTAAGCCAGGAGTCCCCAGACTTGGCAACTTTAAGACTTGTGGACTTCTGGGAGTTGAAATGCACAAGTCTTTATGCTTAGCATCACAGAAAGTACCATTTAAAACAGCAGAGGGCATCTGTGCAAACTTGGAACCATGGAAGGCCCCCAGTGCTTGGTCTGACTTCTGTGAATACAGCTTGAATCAGCATCGATGTGAGAACAAAACAGTCCTTTATTTTTTGGCAAGTGTAGGTTGACTGCTAATGAAACAGAATTAATGGAGGCTGTGGAATGGCCAGAGATGACTTCAGGGCGTTCCTTCCGTCCATTGATTTGTCTGGATTTTTCATTTGCATTAAATAGCAGTAGCACTTAGACTTGTATAACTCTTCACGGTGCTTTCCAGCCCTCTCTAAGCAGTTTACAGAGTCAGCCTCTTGCCCCCAACACACCTGGCTCCTCATTTGACCAACTTCGGAAGGATGGAAGGCTGAGTCAATCTTGAGCCAGTCAGGATCGAACTGGCAGTGGGCAGAGTTAGCCTGCAATGCTGCATTCTAACCACACGGAAGGAAAGGAAAGGAAAGGAAAGAAGGAAAGGAAAGGAAAGGAAAGGAAAGGAAAGGAAAGGAAAGGAAAGGAAAGGAAGATAGCAGTAGCACTTAGACTTATATACCGCTTCACAGTATACAGCCTTCTCTAAGCGGTTTACAGAGTCAGCATTTTGCCCCCAACACATCTGGCTCCTCATTTGACCGACCTCGGAAGGAAGGACGGAAGGCTGAGTCAACCTTGAGCCTGGTGAGATTCGAACTGTCAAATTGCAGGCAGCCGGCAGGCAGGCGGAAGTAGCCTGCAGGACTGCGCTCTAACCACTGCGGCACTGCAGCCCACCCCTCAAATCAAAGGGGACCCATCCCCATACAGGGCTGCTGTAATAAGATAAAATCTAGAAGACCCTCTAGGCACTGAGATCTCTGCCTTTCTAGGCCTCATGCACTGGATTCTCCTTTTTTGGGGGGGGGGGGTGCGAGTATCTCCTGTCCCTGATATTCCCAGTTGACTATTGCTGGCTATTCTATCCCTTCTTGCTGTTGCTTAGCAACCGGGTGGGACAGAATGATTGGCAGCAGACCAAGAATATTGTCAGGTTGCTGCTGATAAATAACTGGATTTCTTTGGAAACTTGGCCCGAGGCTCGTGGTTTAATTAGGGCATCTGTCGAACCCTGACAGATATTTTATAGGTTTTATTAACGTGCAACACTGGTGTTAAACGAAAAATCCATTAATATGATAATTGTGTATGAATTTTCTCTTGGTTCTTTCCCCCTCTTTTTTTGGCTTCCTTCCTTCCTTCCTTCCTTCCTTCCTTCCTTCCTTCCTTCCTTTCCTTTCCTTTCCTTTCCTTTCCTTTCCTTTCCTTTCCTTTCCTTTCCCTTCCCTTCCCTTCCCTTCCCTTCCCTCCCC